GAGAAGAGTATAAACAAATATTCAGAACAGAAGAGCAGAATTTATGTATAAATGTTTAGAAGAAGTATAATTGAAGAAGAAAAGCAAAAAAGAGAGAAGGAGGAAAGATTTAAAAGACAGAAAAAGACAAAGGGAAAAATCAGGATAAAAAAGTGTGGATGTGTAGAGATGAGAAAGCGATAGAGTATAGACAACAGTCTGGGGTGTACATTGGGTGTGCGTGTTAAAATTCTATTGCTGCAAAACTGTGAATGTGAGCAGGTCTGTGTACAGGTCTGTGTCTCTCACTCTATTTTACCATGAACTTGTTGAAGCCCCTCATATGTATGAAGTAATACATTGTAAAAATTTTGAAATAGTAAAATACTGAAGTGAATGTGCTTATTTATGTACACAAAACTTTGTGTGTGTGTGCATGTGTAGATACTGAATACATATAGATCAGTAAAATACATTAAGTTTTCAAAGTGGGTAATGCCATCTTGAGATAACGCCAGTTTTCAGTGCTGCAGTGAATGATCTTGGTCACGGTAGTTTTATAATTGTTCAAGTTCACTTATGGAATAAATTCCTAAAGGTGGAACTGGTCTAAAATAATGCAGTCAGGTTGCTGGTCTTGGGGCTGAAACCCATCCGCACTTGGGCGGCACCAGATGAGCCTGCCTCCCCACCCCCTTACTGAGGACTTGGATGACAGATAACAAATCCAGCATCCCCATCACTGTCCGTTTAATGTTTGCAAGCAATGATGAAGTTAAGTCTGTTTTTCTATTTAATTGATTTGAGTTTCTTTTTCTTTGAATGGATTTCATATCCTTGTTCTCTTTTTCTGTGGAGTTATTGACTTTATTTTGGATTTGATTGGTAGAGAAATTAACCCTTTGTGTTACTACTTGTAAAACTCCACCCCAACCCCAGACCTGATTTGTGGTTTGTCTCTTAACTCCACATATGGGATATTCTGCCCTGTGGACTTTAGAAAGAAAAGTTTGGGACCTCACCTCCCAACACCAAACAACAGGTTGATCAGGGTGAGGGGGCAGATCTGGTCGAGAGTCTTCAGTCCTTGGCACTGAGCACGCAGCCCCTCCAACCGACGATGGACATGTCCTTCTCCGGTTTTCCTGTGTAATGATGATATAAGAATGAATACATATATGACAATTGGTAGCATGATTTCATGTGTAATCAAACCCTTCATCTGCCAGTAGTTCAAAGCTCCAGAATTTTGAAAGTGAAGTGATGGAATGAGAGCTAATGGTTGCTCTCAGGATATGGGACCACGGTCTGCACATTGACCCCTGTACCAGATGACAGCCCATGTCAGCTTGGCTTATACATACCAGGCTGCAACTCTGTATTGGTTGTACTGTACAGAGACTCAGGGATGGGTCCTGTGTGTGAACAACCAGAAGTAGATTTAATGGCATTAAGGCCTCTGCAGGACTTGGTGTAAGGACTGTAGTAGCATAGTGGTAAAGGAGATGGGCTGCTAACTGCGTGGTCAGCAGTTCCAAGCTACCAGCTTTTCTGTGGGAGAAAGAGGCTACTCCTGTAAAGAGTTACAGTCTTGGAAAAACCCACAGGGGCAGTCCTACCCTGCCCTATAGGCTCACTCACTATGAGTCAGCATAACTCAATGGCTGTGAGTTTGGCTTTTGGTCTTGCAAGACTTGGCCGAGCACATATAGGCTACCTGCCATGGACATCACAGCCCGCATGGTTAAATTCTCACTTTGTAGCTGATGCAGTTCTGCCCTTGGAGAAATCCTTTGAGTCCAGGCAACAGAAAAAGCCACACAACTCACAGTTCAAACATACACATTTGCCAGAGAGGCTTAGAGGCAGCCCTGATCGCCATTAGTCGCTTCCTGCCTGAGTCTGGCGCAAGGCTTATCCTCAATGCCTGGAGTAATTGATGAAACGCAAAAAGTGAGGGCTGCCTGGACATGGGAGGGCCAGGCTGGTTTTCTTAGGTGAAGAGCACACCAGCCAGCAACAGTTCAGGTCACGGCATCAGCCTTCCCCAAACTGCCACCAGCTGCCCAGCACCAGGCAAGTGACAGGAACTCCACTGAGGGTTACAGCGAGGGAAGGCCGTTCCCGAGGAGGAAGACCTGAAGGCAGATACGAAATGCGTTCTGGAGGAAAACCCCAAATGTAAGCCCTGCTTCTCAGCACAACAGCAGGGCCTTTCTCAGGAGGTTGTTGACATCCAAAAGAGGAAGATAAGATCAGACCACAGTCCTTTCCCCACACTGCTCTCTACCAGGAAAAGACAATCAATAAAAATAAAGTTTGTATCTAAAAAAAAAAAGAATGGTTAATGACCACTATAAGTCCTATGCAAATCATCAGTATAGAAAAGCAAGAGAGAAGGAATTTTTGTTTAAGCACAAAATATTACCCTTCAGGACCAATAATGAGAGTAGTGATACCAGGAGGGTAAAGGGAAGGTAGGGGAGAAAGGGGGCACCCATCACAATGATCTACATGTAACCTCCTCCCAGGGGGACGAATAACAGAAAAGTGGGTGCAGGGAGACAGTGGTCAGTGTAAGACATAAAAAAACATTTATAAATTATCAAGCGTTCATGAGGGAGAGAGGGTGGGGGAAGGGAAAATGAGCTGATACCAGGGGTTCAAGTAGCAAGAAAATGTTTTGAAAACGATGATGGCCACATATGTACAAGTGTACTTGACACAATGGATGTGTGTGTGGATTGTGATAAGATATGTAAGAGTCCTGATTAAAATGAAAAAGGTTGGCTTTTTGGAGGGCTTACATGTGTACACTATGTTTTGTTGGCTGTGGAATACTTTGTTGAAAGATTTTTCTTTCAATTCATTATCTATTTTGTCCTACTTCTCAATTTTATTGTTTCCTTTATCCTTATCTTTGTATTTCTGTACATATGTCTTAATCATTTATTTTAAATGTTTTAGCTATACAATATATGTTATATAGAATATATGTAAATTATGACATATGAAGATCATATTATCACGTGACTTGGTATAGTTTCATGTATATTTTCATGCTTGTGACTATTTGAGTTTCTTGGACCAGGGGGTGTTAATGTGGTATATGTACAATAAAACTTATGAAAACAAATGCTCAGAGTTGGGAGAAAAGAAATGGAAGTATATTATCAAGAGGTTCTTAAATTATCGATGACTGTAGTATAATACAATCTGAGATATGCTGTGATAAAATGAAAATATATAAACCCTAAAGAAATCACTAAAATAAAAGCAATATAGCTAACAGCCCCCACCAACAAAATGGTGCTAAATGGGATTTTCAAAATATTTGCTTAACAAACAAGAAAGCAGGAAGAAGAGAAAATCAAAGTAACAGGCAGAAAGCAAAGAGGAAGATAGTAGATTTAAACCTAACCGTATGAATAATCAATTAAGTGATGATGATCTACGACAATTAAGAGACCTAGTTTTATGTTTTGTTTTGTTTTGTTTTTTAAAGCAAGACCTAATTATATATGGCCACCAAAAAAATCCTCTTTAAATGTTAGGATTGAAATATAGTTTAAAAGTAAAAGAATAGAAGTTATAAAGATTAGTTTTTAGATCATACCAATCTAAAGAAAGTAAGAGTGGGTAGACTCATTTTAAAATCCAAGTCAGTGAGTGCAAATGGCATCGGACCGGGAAACGTCTTGTGCTGTTGTATGTCAGGTTGCTAGTGTTGGAGACTGGAGGCGTCAAATACCAGCAGAAGGTGTCAGCCACCAGGTGTTACCAGGAATGGCAAAGATAATATCATTCTGATATCTGTTCAGTATAAACAGTATAAATAAAAAGTCGTAAAAAGCTTATTGCACCTTTTAACAGAGCAAAATCCATGAAACGAAACAAAAATGGATAGAGAAGCAACAAATGCAGAATTATAGTAATAGATTTCAGTATATAGATGAGACAGGAATCAATTAAGAAACAGAACATTCTTGTTATACCTGGGTATGTTCATTTGTTTCATTACGATCATTCGATGCATGAAATCCAAGACCGTTAAACCCCTCAGAAACCATAACAGGAGGAACGATTACCGGAGGGCACAGGAAAAGAGGAGGGGTAGGGGAACCGGTAACCATGTTGACTGTGTAACCCCACTTGCCGACAGATCCAAGCACTTCAGGGGGACTCACAAACGAGACTACTGTTGACATAAAAAATTTTAGGTCAGGGTCTAATTATAATAATGATCTTAACATCTAGCAACAAGATTACAATGCATCAAGCAGGGTGGAATACTTAAAAAGTATCACTTAATCCACGGTCACCCGATGCATAACAGAAGCAAAATGGCAGTGATGAAATAGCAACAAAAAGAATGTTGTGGTTGGGGGTCACCACAACATGAGGAACTGTTTTAAAGGGCGGCAGCATGAGGAAGGTTGAGAACCACTGCCTCAAACAAAAGGACTATGTCTTGGAATGGCAAAGAAGTCTAAAAACAGCACTATTAAAGTGAAAGGCTTCGTTTAATTTCCGACTTTGGCATGTAAATTAAATAACCAATTAGTTATTTAATATTCCACTGTCCATTTCATAATCTGTGAGGTGGAGATGGCCTGTCCCTAATGATGCTTGGGAAATGCTTAATGAGGGGTTAAATTAAAGATACTGTCTACAACAGCATTTTCTATATTTTCATCTGTCTAAGTATGAGACCCCTTTAACTTTAAGGAGAAGCTATAAAACTGAGTGTTGGAAATGTGGAAAACTGGATGCATGACACCTGAGCGGCAAAGCTTAATGCTCACAAGGACCCCCTGCCCTCCACCATGTTGCCTCCATTAGAGGCCCCAGGAGATCCCCCTATCCATTTAAAGAAAATCACTATTGAAAAGCTCAAAGAAACTGACCACTAACATATATCTTGGAGTGTTTTGTTGTTTTTGTTATTGCTGTTGTTTTTAGCAAAATGTCATTGTCCCCAATACCCTTGTCCTTTAAAGAGTATTGTGTTCATTTTACAGGTCCCCTGTTATGGCTGGAGGTCTCTTTGCTGTGGATAGAAAATGGTTTTGGGACTTGGGGGGCTATGATCCAGGTTTAGAAATCTGGGGAGGAGAACAGTATGAAATCTCTTTTAAGGTAAGCCACTAAGACCTTCTCACACTTTCTAAATAAATGTGATAATTCTGGTAGAATATCATTTTCCTTTGTGCACTATATGAAGAGATGACAATGAAAATAGACATCATTTTCCCAAATCAGCTTCTCAAGAGAGATCTGATTCCTTCAAGTATGTATATGCCAACTAGCCAGATCATATAAAAAGTGGAAAAAAGGGGGAAAAAAGTATAATGATTCAAAAGTCCATTAATTTATTAAGTACAAAATAAGCCTGTTTTTATATGAAATTAACCCATATGTTTACATTCAAGAGTATCAAATTTCAACATTTATGAGTGAAAAATACTCCCCACAACATGTAAAAAACAGGTAAACAAAGGAAGAAAACTGCACAAAAGTTGCATTCCATGGAATACTAAAGAGTTTTCCATATTTTCAATGTATCTCTGTATCATGTGGAAGGGAATGTTTCCAATATATGTGTGAATCATAAATACATAAATTCAGCTATTCACATCTAAAAAAGTTGCATTTAAAATTGCAAAATGTTTCTAAAGTTCTCGTTTTTCTATTTATTTTTTCTTTTGTCATACTCATTATTTATACAGAAGCATAGAATTGATTCTTGCAACATTTATCATACAGAAATCTCCTCCTAAGTAGACCAGTTTCTGAATAACTTTCATTGTAAAATCAAACCTGATTCCCACTGTGGAAAAGACTGCATCCTAATATAGTACAAGTCACACTTAAAAATCCAGCAAAACAGTTTAAGTTTATATATAAAAATCAAGTGATAAAATGATATTTATAAAACTGTAACAGCTATATTCAATGTGCTAACAGAAATGTTATGTTATCATAAAATAAATAGCCTGAAGGAGAGATTGAAGAGGCATTATTGCAGCTTTCGGACATTTAGAACGCTTCCTGACTCCATGCTGGCAGTAATCCTTGAAATTCCACTTATTGAGTTAGTGCTTTTTCTACCACCATTCAAACACATCTGATCTCACATCTATTGTTTGGGTTCTTAAACAACTGTTTGTAGAGGCGTTTGTTTTTCATTCCTCAAATGTACCAGTGTCTATTAGGTTCTTCTGTTATAGAGCAGGGGTTCTCACCTTCCCCATGCCGTGACCCTTTCATACAGTGCCGCGTGTGGTGGTGACCCCCCAACCATAACATTATTTTCGTTGCTACTTCATAACTGTCATTTTCCTCCTGTTATGAATCAAGTGACCCCTGTGAAAAGGTTGTTGGACTCCCAAAGGGGTCACGACCCACAGGTTGAGAACCGCTGTTACAGAGTCTAGGGCAAAATAGGCTAACATGTGCCAGCTCCTGAGCTAAGTAGTCTATAGGCAGTATCTAATTTAAAATGGCAACTCAAGGAGGTGAATGTTATCATTTTATAGACGAAGAAACTGAGACTGAAAGAGATTGAATAAATTACCTAATGTCAAGGATGGATGAAAATGCTCTATGTCTGTTGAATTATAACAAAAGCACCCAAATAAAATCTACTGATATCATTTCTAACAGCACTGTGAGCCCTTTCATCCCTGTCTGATGGTTTCTCTTACTGAGCAGCAGCTACTCGTCTTCCTTACAACCAAATAGCTCAGTTGAAAACGTTTTCCTAAAATACTATTTATTATCAAGTGTTTCCCATGTATAAGTGGATGCAACGTTTATAGGTATACCTTTTAAAGAAGTATACTGGAAAAAATTACACTTGACCCCACCTCTAAAGAAAAACTGATATTGTTCTATTTATAATCTGATCAGAATTCAACTCGCCTACTCCATCGAGTTGGTTCTGCTTCCTAGTGACTTTGATCAGGATTCCTGAAGCTGTAAACATTTCCATGAGTAGACACCCTCATCTTTCTCCCAGATAACGGCATTTTCCTCCCACAGAGTAGCTGGTGGATTTGAACAGGCAACCTTGTAGCTAGCAGTCCAGGGTTACTCAATAGCGCCACCAGGGATTCTCATCAGAATTCAAGGGATGCCTTTTATTAATTTGCTTTTCACGGTCCAGAAGTTTTTGGGGTGGTTTTTTTTTTTCTTAAATTCTCTTAATTCATGAATTCTTTCCGTTTAAAATGATGTTAAGGGAAATTTTATTAAACAAGAAATACCTGGCTTTGAATGATTTAACTGGAGGAAGGATAAAATTGCACTTGAAAGTCTGGACTGTTGGCACAGAGTGAATTTGCATTGTAAATCACAAAGGGGTCTTTTAGATAAATATAAACTTGCATTTCTTACTTTTCTGTCACTTGTATCTATCACATCTCTTCTGGGTGACCTGAGATTTTATTACCCCATTTTCTGTTTTCAGTTCTGTCATTCTGAAGGGTATAATTGGAATTCAGCCCTATCGTCTTTGTCTAGAAACCATGGCAACAGCACTGGAAGTTCACGACTACATTGCCCCTGGTTGTTTAGTTGGAATGACAGATTCTTTGGCGACAGCTACGTCTTATAGGATCCCATTCTAGACATATCCCTTCACTCTTCCCCACTATTGTATACTGACCTTGAGCTTCCTGTCCCTCCCTGTTCATCATTTTAACATAAAGCGGGACAAACTTCACCAGAATTTAGTAAAAAAAGAAAGAGCCCAGACCTCTGAAAATCTACAGTTTAAGTTGCCAAAATAATTCTAACACCATTACCAGTCTCTGGTTTTCCCAAGTGCATTTTTACATACATTTCAAATGTTAGCCTTTCTAAATAATCAGTCCTTTGAATATAAGAAATTCTCAAAAAATGCTAAAATGAAAATGTAACAGCAAACATGAACTGAGTACCCAGAAACATGTAGAATGAAGCCTATAGACTCCAGTCCATGAACTCCTGACATGAGACAGAAGTATGGATCGCCTGCCAAGGACATTAAAATGTCCTTGTCTACCTCATGCATCTCATCAAAATGCTTACATATTCATCCCAATATTTGGGGGACTCTTCATAGTCCCAGGAAAAGCCCTTGATGAGTCAACTCACCTGTGGCTAAGATTCCAGGTGAGATGAGCATGGGTGCTGTACATTCTAGAATGAATCCACTAACCCTGCGAGTCCCATAACCTCATTCAAAACCACTTTCAATGGGTCATAACGTGTTGTAAATAACCTTCACGGTGTGCCACAGTCTTTCCTATGTGGTTGGCCTAAAATATAGACATTTAAAGAAATTTTAATGTATATTTCACAAACTTCTACCCCTCATAAGTCATTAATTCATTCCACAGACATTTATTTATTTATTACAATGTGCCAACACTGCTAAGCTCTGGAGATTCAAAAATAAATGTGAGATTGGAAAGAGCTTTTTCTCGCATAACAGCCCCAAAATATGTAATATAGTTCATACAGAATATGTAATATGGTTCCTCAGAATATCTACTCCCATAATCACAGTAATAATTCAATGCATATGTGATAGCCCCTTTCCTAGCCTCCCCTTCTTCTAATCTCTTTATTTCAATTTATCCAGCATTTCATTATTTTTCCCTAAATTGCTTTATTTTCTTGTCCTAAAAGTTCATAATTGTTCCTAATTAGTGGACAAGACAAATGACCATATTTAATCATATACCACAAGATTTTTCCTTAAGTTATCTGCCTCAATTTATACTGTAAACAAAGTCAACTAAAGATTCCCTCCCCTTCCCACAGAAGATGGAAACATGCCTCCTTTTTATGTCCCTCTATGTTTTAACTAATCAATCAGACTTACTCTATTCATGAGAAATTTGCTTCTTTTTTTTAAAAAAATGCTTAATCATTTCATTGGGAGCTCTTACTGATTTCATAATATTCCATAGTTCAATCACATCAAGCAGTATTGTACAATTGCTCCCACAATCAGTTTAAAACATTTTCTTTCTTCTTGAACTCCTCGATATCAGCTCCCCTTTATCCCCTCCCTTCCCCACCCTTCCCTCCCCCTAC